TTGGTTAGTTAGAAATACTTTACAGAAATATTTTTATCATTAAAATAATTGGATATAAAATTTAGTTTTAAAATGTTCCCAACTGCAAAATTTTATTGGTTAAAACATAATCGGTTAAAAAATTCTGTAAGATTTGAAAAAAAAAAGAAAAAAATCGAACAAAAACAACAAAAATTCAAAATTCTGGATTAAAGGAAACAAAAAAATTTGAAAACTTCTTCAATTTTGTGTTTTTTTCTAATCATTTTACAAGAAAAATTGTTTTCATATCTCTTTTCTTTACTATGACTGTCGAATATGCCTGGCTCTAGCTTTTCGTTCAGATCGTTTTATCATAGGATAAAGCTAGTATACTTTGAAAAAAATTATTGCTGTATTTTTAAGACTGTGGTTGGATAAACAGCCAACCAAATCAAGTGCATCTATCACAATAGCTAGATTTAGATTCTTCTAAAATATATCTAAGGCCGACATACAACACCTCCCAAACTATATGATATGATTGATCAAAACTATAGCTTCAATTACCCATAACATTTTCAACCAACAATTATCTGTGGTTATTTAGATTGTTTTTGAATAGCATGTTATATTTTAGTCTGAAATCTTGTAATTGGTTTAAACTTAAGAATGCGTTTGATTTTTGGTGACCTCGAACTTTTTTGGCAATTCAAAAAAATTTTCTAATTCCCAATATGTTCGTAAGTAAACGCTTTTATTCTTGAGCTTTTCATTAAAGGAAATTTCCAGGGAATTGTGGTAAAATGTTTTTGGATACTTCAAGCATTTTTCGTTTGGTTGTTCTGGTCGCAAAAAGATAATTAATTGTGGAAGAAAACAAGACTGCTCGTATTTCAGGGCTTTGCCTGAGTGTCCCTTAATTCATATCGAACAGTTTTTTTTTGGAAAAAAAAGTTGAAAATCTATAAATTTTGGACAATATCAAAGTGTGAAAATTTGAGTCATACGAAATTAATACAACCGATTAGCTAGTCTCAATTCAACTTGGAACAACTTTTTTGTGCGGGATAATTAGCCACGCAAAAGTATTTCGCGTTACGCTCTCAGCGTTATGAATAAACTCCTCAAAGTGCACATAATTTGGTTCAGAACATGGCCAGTTTGGCAATTTTCAATCTCTCAGAATTTTACAAAAAACAGTCGGAGGTAAAAAAAAAACTTTTTAAAATTGAACTCAAGAAGTCGATTTCTTCAATGAAATATAAAAAACTTTTGTTGAGAATTATTATTTCGATCGGCGAATATTGACTGGATAAAAAAAACCACACCGAGCATAAACCTTCCGTTTCTTCGAAAGTCGGAAGAACAACTTTCAAAGTTTGTAAGAATCTCTTTAACTATACCCCTTTTTGCAAAAAGAGGAGGGGAAATTTCGTCTATAGGTTCAAAATTTGCATAACAAATGAGTTCTTCTATCATAGGGGTGGCAATTCATAACCAGACAAGACTGATCGTATCAGGGCGAAGCCTGAACGTTCCGACTGCCTTTTAAAGTCTTTGGAGCAGTAATAACAGGAATAATTTAAATGTAATGAAATAAAATTCAAAAAAAAAATTTAAAAAAAATTGAGATTTTTTGTAAAAACATCCCCCCACACGTCATATTAAATACAAAAAGATAGAGTTTGCTCCTATTAACAAATCAATTAAGGCATATAAGTTTTCTTGAACCAGTTTTGGAACAATTTCCAAGACGGATTAAGTCTTGCTTACGCGTTAATAGCGTGAAATATATTGCGCGTTAATTGTCCCAAATTGGCCAAAATGGCATTATTTAAACCCCCATTACCTTACGAGAAATGATCACAGGTGAATTATTTTTCAAACTTAAGCTCAGGATAACAAAAGTTTTTCTGAATAGTAAAAAAAAAATTCCGTCAAAAATGGCTAGTTAAAAAGTCGAAAATTATCTGAAGAAAAAAACCTACCCCGAGCACAAAAATTCCTTTACTTTCGTTACGAAAGTCGGAACAATAATAATTAAAGTGATCCGAAATTTTAACAAAAATGCTCGTATCAGGGCAAAACCTTGAATGTTCCGACTGCCTTTCGAGGTTTATGGAGCAGTAACCACAAAAAAATTTAAATTTAATAAAATAAAATGAAAAAATTTTTTTTCTAAAATTTGAAAATTTTTATGAAAATCATCACCCCACACGCCAGTTAAAGTACAAAAGGATAGCTTTTGCTCCTTGTAACAAATTAATTATGGCAAATAAGCTTCTTTCAACCAATTTGGAGCGATTTCTAAGACGGATTAAATCTGCGCATTACGCGTTGATCGCGCAGAAATATATCGCGCGTTAATTGTCCCAAATTGGTCAAACTGGCCAAAATGGCAGTCTTTAAACCCTCACAACTCTACGAAAAATTATCACAGGTGAAATATCTTTTCAAATTTAAGCCCAGGACAACAATAGCTTCTAAATGATACAAAAAATACCGTCAAAAATGGCTAGTTAAAAAGTCGAAACTTGTCTGAAGAAAAAAAAAACCCACCCGAGCACAAATATTCCGTTGCTTTCGTATTGAAAGTCGGAACAATTACCATTAAATTTTCTATGATAGGTTTGAAGGATGAACAACCCGGGATTCAGGCATCAAAAGACTCTGACCGCATTGCAAGATTTTCAAGCAACGGAGACAACGATTTGTGGTCCAGTTTGATACAGCTAGAAAACTAACCTCGATCGAATCTAGTGGAAAGCTTTTTTTAAAAATCAAGTTGTTGAAAATATTGATGGGTTTGAACTCTGCACATCTAATTTTGACTCGCGTATTTTTTTATCATCTAATCAGTTCAATTCCTTTAATCAGTTCAATTCTTAACCTCGAAAAAAAACTCCTTTAATCAGTTCAATTCTTAACCTCGAAAAAAAAGTAAATTTTGTAGCGAAAAGTAGCTGATCTTTCTCTGCAGTCTCTGATTATGATTATATTATAGCTATCGCTTTTACAAGCCTTGACATTAGTCAACCCAAGTCTTTGTTCGTTTTGATACGAATAATAAATTAATCGGAGAGATTTTTGTTCAAATAAAGATATTTAAAATGCTCCAGCGTTTGAATTACTTTGGAATCAACGAAAAAATTATCAGCGTCTGTTTTCTGAATGAGCAGGGCACTCTCCCCTCACTTCATTGAACCAGTAGCTGTTGTCCTGACATGAACAGAATTTAGCCTGGGCTCTCTTGAAGTTATCGCAGCCCGATACAGCAGTGAACAGTTGCATCACACTGGTCACTATGCCCCCACAATCCTCAAATGCCTTCTCGCAGTCCACGTAACGAGTTCCGCAGGAGGAGTAGCATACATCGTGATTGTTGCAGCACTTCTGTCTCAATAAACATTTTGCGAGCGTGAGAGAAAATTGATTTTTATTCATAACTTATTTAATTGGCGTTTCTGCGAATCGCAGTGGATCTATGAAAGGCCTTGCAGCCTGTCTAAACATAGTCCGTTTATATTATTTCCCACATTACAGACCGAGTGTGCTGAGCGATGCTCTTTTTTAACGACTCAGGGTCGTTTTTTTTTGCGTTAGAATTTTCTCGTGGTATACCCTTATTGCATCCAAAACCGGTCTATACTTAAGGATTCTGAGTCAAAAAGCGTTGTTGAACAAGTGAAATGTGGTAGTTATAGATCTAAACGTACGCATGTTTCAATCATAATTTGATGCTTCATAAGTTGCGCAAAAATTGTTCTCGTCAAAATAGATTGCGAACGATCATGTAAATGTGATGTAGTCCACAAACTAAATAGTTGTTCTAACCTGGATATTCTCAGTGAGTACGGAATTAAGCAGGATTTGTGTCCAATCTGGTAGCCAGTGGGGACCACAGCCGTTGGAGGGGTTGGGGTTGAAGCACCCCGCTATGTGGACCATTTTCTGCCCAGGCGGACACACGTCCGAACACTCAGTCAGGATAACTATAAGGGAAAAAGGCCAGAGCAGTTTTAAGAAAAATTCCAGAAACCATATTTTGGGGGAAAGAAATTTTTTTTCTCTAAATATATTATGCGCAGGACATTACGAGGTTAACCCTAAACTGTGCAAACCCTTACTCTAAACCGTCCTAACCCTAAACTGTGCACTGCTTAAGCGCACAATTTTGTGTCTGTATGTTAGTGGATTCCAAGAGACACGTCTTTAAATAAGTTCCAAAATGTAAGTGGATTCCACAAACAAAATTTCAGCGGATTCCACATACATATACCTGTAACGTAAATTTTGTCGGCAATTTATTATGTTGCGGGTTCCGCAACAAGCAAATATAGCGAATTGTTCTGGATTCCTCAACTGTAAGCGGATTCCGCAAATTTTAAGTGGATTCCGCATTTTTTTGTATTACTGAACTTGCATATGAACAATTAAAAGCTAGAGGTGATATATTTGATTTATTATCTATAGGAACGCGCAATTTGAAAGCAAGGACTCATCCATTTGTCAGCGGAAACCAAAAACGAATATTAAAAAATTGGTTAACTATGCGGATGTCAAATCTTTCTTTTCGGATGATTTTTGGGATCGGAAAATACAATCATCAATTTTTCACAATCAAGGTGGATCAATTGTTTTGTTCTTTCCACGGCTGTGTCTGAATCCTTTTCCTCGAAATCTCCATCTTCGATTAAGCGTCTCTGTTGTCTCAATGGCTCACTATGGTATTCATAGTCTGGTGTTTTTGTTGAAATATTTGTCTCCTTGGCTATTTTGGCTATTTCTGAGTCCCTTTCCTCGAAAACTCCACCTTCCACAAAGCATCTCTGTTGTCTCAATGGCTCACTATGGTATTCGTAGTCTGGTTGGTTTGATGAAATATTCTCCAGATAAAATTTGCGTTTACGTCTCTTATTGAATTTAATTTTCTCTTTCCACAACTTTGTACTCGCTACATTTGACGTGTTTTGACTCTGATGTTTGAGCGTATTTAATATAAACGTTTTCACAGATTCAAGTGGAGTATCTTTGTCCGGCTAAACGAAGGGGGTAGAACTTTTGAACTGCAGACTCCAAAGGAAATCAATTATTTCGTCAGCTGAAATACAGCACCGAAATGTTCTCTCAGAGACTGCTTTAACCAATCTCCCAGGAATTACCTCGTTTTTAGTAAAGAACAGTGCAGTTGGATTGATTGTAAGCACCTCTGGACTTGGGATGCCCGGCTAGCAAGGCTTTTCCCGGTTCGCAGACGCAGACGACGGCTTGCAGGAATGGATTTTGGTACTTTAACTATCTAAGGTGAGCCAATTTTGAATTGACGGAACAAATTTGTTCAGTTGATACTGACCTAATGAAACGTGAACTTTAGTGTTGAATCTAAGTGCAAGCTCTTTCATCAAAAACTCATAGCCGTAGCAGGCGGGTTTTGTTACAAAAATGGACCACATTGTTTTGAAATGAACAGAGCCATGCGGACACGGCTTGAAAGATGGCTGAAAGACAGCTCTCCCTACAAGGTATAAAATTGGAATCTGTTTTGCAAAACGTTGTGTCGTTGTAAATACTATCAAAATTGTGAACAGCAGCTTCTTGTAAATGGTCAAAAAAATGATTTATTTGCTTCGTATGACCAACTTGCCATCTGAAATCGCCAGTAAAAAGGACTGATTTTTCTTTGGAAACTAGTAAGAACATTACTGAACCTGGACAGTGACCTGCAGGCATAAAAGTGACAATTAGGGTATGAGTCTCGTACCCTGCCAATGAAACATTCAATTTTATCTCAACATCCGAATCCAGAGGTATTATATATGGAGTTAAGTGAACATAAAGTGGCAATGCACTCAACAAAGCAGCCGAAACTTTTTGACAATAAACTTTTAAGTTATAGTGTTTCAAACTATCGAAGAGCTCAGTGTGACATTCGACCAGAATGGCCAAAATGCAATCTCTGCAGACTTCGAAATTTTAGCAGTGAACCTTCCGAGTTAATGATTTTGAAGGATTAACGACGTTATTGGAACGTTTAGCCAAACGGTGAGGGCTAGAATATTCTAGTATTTTAAATTTTCAAAAATTCGAATGATGACGTCACATTTCTGAGAAATGCTGAAACGGCCATTTTAACAAAAAAGCGAGTAAAAAACAGAACAACTTTTATCTGCGATTGCGAACAGTACGAAAATCGAGATTGGAAAACGACAACAAACTACAGAATAGCAGAGAACGCTCCGAATTGCAACTATTGTGCTGCTACAATAGTTGCAAGGCCGTTGCCAACAACGGTGAAGGGTGAGAACCAGCCTTCCGGATTAGCAAGAAATCAAGAGTAAGGAGCTTGATTCGGCGGATTCAAGAATCCGGAAGGGTCTCGGGACGGAAACTTTTATTAACTCACATAAACTTTTAGCATCCTGTCATGTCCTGACTTGAATTTAACTGATATTTTGATTAGTTTTGACAAGGATGAGGTGCTAGGAGTTGGGGGAAAGGGTTGATCCATCTTCGATGGAGATGATGATTTTTATCTACTGAACAAAAACAATAGTAATATAATAAGTAGTAGACCTGTTTTTAGGAGTGACCTCGTGGTCTGGGGATACAGAGACCCAGCCATGAGCTCACTATTTTTGCATGTAATTCAGTTAATTTGAGCGTTCTGGTCGAAGCCGGAGAACAGTAACGTTTTGTCGACCCGATGTAAGAAAGACCACCGAAAAGTACTGGCTTGGTAGAGACGGTGAAAAACATGCAAAGCTCTGTTTAGACGCTGGCCAGTCGTCTTAAGACTTAGTTTTGTTATCCGTCGATATGTATCTTCCGGGCGAATGTTACACAGGCTCATTAAAGCCCACCATCTGATCTATTTGACAGTGCGAAAGAAAATAAACCGTAGATTTGAGGTTGTCACCCTTGAAGCGATCAATTAAAACCCCAGGAAATTCTGATATTGGACAAGAAAATAAACCGTAGATTTGAGGTTGTCAACCAAGAAATCAAGAGTAAGGAGCTTGATTCGGCGGATTCAAGAATCCGGAAGGGTCTCGGGACGGAAACTTTTATTAACTCACATAAACTTTTAGCATCCTGTCATGTCTTGACTTGAATTTAACTGATATTTTGATTAGTTTTGACAATGATGAGGTGCTAGGAGTTGGGGGAAAGGGTTGATCCATCTTCGATGGAGATGATGATTTTTATCTACTGAACAAAAACAATAGTAATATAATAAGTAGTAGACCTGTTTTTAGGAGTGACCTCGTGGTCTGGGGATACAGAGACCCAGCCATGAGCTCACTATTTTTGCATGTAATTCAGTTAATTTGAGCGTTCTGGTCGAAGCCGGAGAACAGTAACGTTTTTGTCGACCCGATGTAAGAAAGACCACCGAAAAGTACTGGCTTGGTAGAGACGGTGAAAAACATGCAAAGCTCTGTTTAGACGCTGGCCAGTCGTCTTAAGACTTAGTTTTGTTATCCGTCGATATGTATCTTCCGGGCGAATGTTACACAGGCTCATTAAAGCCCACCATCTGATCTATTTGACAGTGCGAAAGAAAATAAACCGTAGATTTGAGGTTGTCACCCTTGAAGCGATCAATTAAAACCCCAGGAAATTCTGATATTGGACAAGAAAATAAACCGTAGATTTGAGTTTGTCAACCTTGAAGCGATCAATTGAAACCCCAGGAAGTTCTGATATTGGACTGATATTGAAATTCTGATTTTGGAGGTATAAAGAGTGAGTTAAGCAAATGAGGATTGAACATAGATTTCTATAATTTTAAAGAAAGGATAAGACCACCACATTTTGATCCTGTATCCTAGGTTAATTTATAAAGCAAAAATTCTAATCATTTGGGCGCATCATTAACATTACACGAGGGGATCTGAAAAACAATAACAATTAGCTTCAGTAGAGCCAAATTTCTCAAATCAAAAAGAAACATTTGGTAATTTTAATTCCACTACTTGTAAAAAGCAAACATTTTAAAGGATATGCGCACGAATATAGAAGAGTTGACATCAGGAAGCACAGTAGGAAGCACAATTTTGGACTCACTAACTAACTAAAGTTTTATAACAGACTTTTTTACTGATACGTGTGGGCTGATATGACTATAAGACCGGCAAAGGATGATGATATTGTGAGGCATACTGTGAGGCATACTGTGAGGCATACTGTGAGGCATACTGTGAGGCATAATGTGAGGTATACAGTGAGGCATACTGAGGCAAACTGTGAGTCATACTGTGAGGTAGTATACTGTGGGTAGGCATATACGGACTGTGGGTAGGTATATACGGCATACTGCGACGGCTTTTGCACTAAAAAAAACAGTTTTCTAATGAACAGTTTTCTTTAAAAAACAGCTGTCTACTAAAACTAGTCATAAGAAACTTTAGTATTTGAGACACCCAGCGGTCATATTTTGAGATTTGGGTTTTTGAAACTTTTTGATAAGTGATCACTGTTTGAGTCGGTCGATTGAGTTGGTTATATGAGTCGGTCGATTAGGTCGGCCGATTGAATTGGTCGATTGAGTCGGTCGATTGTTCGAGCGGTTGAGTCGACATTTGCACTAAAAAACTGTTTTCTATTGAACTAGTCGTAAAATCTTTTATAATATATTTTGAGATTTGAGATTTTGAAACTTACTCATAAGTGAGGGTACTGATAAATAGTCACTGTTTGAGTCGTTCAATTGAGTCGGTCGACTGAGTCGGTTGATTGAATCGAGCGATTGAGTCGGTCGATTGAGACGGGCAATTGAATTGGTCGATTGAGTCGCGCGATTGTTCGGGCGATTGTTCGGGCAATTGTTCGGGCGATTGTTCGGGCGATTGTTTGGGCGATTGAGTCTGCATTTGCACTAAAAACATTGTTCTAATAAACAAGTCAAAAAAATTTTTAATAATTTATTTTGAGATTTTGAACCTTCACGAGGAGGGTCCGAACCCAGGCTGGGATGAACCAGCGATTCTGCGTCCTCGGCCTCGATCCTAGCCTGGCAGGTTTGCAGTCCCGGCGACTGATGGTGCTGCTCGTCCGCGACTGCGCCCCCGCCCGATCGTCCAATTATAGGGCAGAGTGTCATCGTCACTATCGCTGGACGATTCGGCTATCCCAGGCCACAGCGTGCCCGCAACCGCGCCTCCGCGCGTACGAAAATGCAAAAGTGTCCTGCTCAGTGCTCTCCTCCTCTTCACTGCCCGAGAGCAGATCAAAGTCGGAGACACTCCTCAGCTATTCCGAGTCACGGAAGGGCACCACTGTCTCCACCTCTATCTGCTCGCCTGGCTCCTCATCCTCATCCTCATTTGGCTCCTCATCCTCGTCCTTGTCAGAAGAACTAAACAAAGGTAAAACAAGATCGATATGGAGGGCTTGATGTTGTTTTGTGGTTTACATTGGGAAGGTTCAAGTTAGTAGTCAAAGGTGGAAAGAGGAGGTTGTTCACATGGCGCCAGCTTTAGTTAGTTTAACAAAAAACCAGGTGAAAAGCAACAGTTACCAGTACAAGAAGCTACTGAGAGGCGTCAATTCCTGCCGACAGAGGGGGCACTTTGGATGAAAATCATCTAAAACCTTCCGCCAGCAAACAAAGCACAGCTTTTGCGCCACAACCCCATCATGGATCTTATACGAAGCCCTCCCCTCTTCGCAGCAGATCGGACACATTTCATTGTCTGGTTGTCCATTCATGTTTTCTGAAATTCAGTAATTGAGTTAGTTACTCAGACTTCATGCTAAAAATTAGAATCATATTACAACTTATAGAAACAAAAACTGTTTTTAAAATGTCAATTAAAATTTTTAATTTGGTAATAGAAAGTCTTCAGGCCATTTTGACTGATGTTAGGGCGGGCAATGCTCCCACTGGCAATGCTTCGCATGACCCACGATGGTGTTGGAAGACATTGTACATCTCTTCTTTATTCGCCAGCCTTTCCTTAGTTGTTGGCTTAAATTACAAATTTATCAAAGTTTAGCATGAGAGGTTAAACTGAGTTTTTGGGACGAATTAAGCATTTCAGTATACGGGATGACGAAACTCAATTTTTGGGATCAGTTGAGTATTTCAGTATATGCGATTAAATTGGGTGCATTTTATAGTATATGGAAGTAAGTATTTCAGTTTCTGGGATGAAACTCGGCCAGAAGTACTTACGTAAACTATTCTGGCAAGGTGGTTACCTAAGGCTTTGTCGTGTGCCTTCAAAAATCTCCAGACCTCCTCCAGATCTTCTAATTCGTGCGGCGGTATCCAGATTGTGTCTCTCGTGCTATAAGAAAAATGTTTCTCTACTTTCATTTACTTCGACAAAAATGTATCAGTTTAATGTTTGATACTAATGATACTAACCACAGATGCACCATAAGCTCATTCAGAGTCAACATCGGAAAAGCAGGGTAGCATCTGCTGAAGTTCTCATCGTCTTTCCACTCATGTCGGAAAGCTCTGGTAGCTGTCAGCAGGTGTCCACGATGGATGAAATTGACACCCAGAGCCACTGACTCTGAATGCGTTTCAACCATGTGTATCATTCCAGCTGGCATAACGAGGGCATGGCGCTCCATCAGAACAACTTTCTGACACCCTCCAGCATCACAGCTAGGGTCATCCAGGGAAAGCACGGAAAATCTGCTTGTTTTTGACCGAACGGGTCATCAAATAAAATGTTTTGCAGCCTAAAAGAAAAAAGAACTAAGTGGAACATATTTCTATATTTCGTAGAAAAAATTATGCGTCAAATTTTGTTTAAGTTTTCACTAAATTGTACATCACAGATGTACCGGAGAAATTCTGGTGAAATGGTGTTTTTGCACCAGCCTGCGAAAACACAGGTAGCTTGACTCCTTCGTCGGTACTTCTGTCTTCTCCTTCCTTTTATGTATGTGTCCCAACGACACATCCTTGACTGCTTTTGGGACAGGGAAGTTTGTGGCGGTCGACAAGGAAACATCAGCATCAATGATGTTCCGAACATTGGCGGCAATAATTGGAGCAAAATTTGAACATCAGCTGGCTTAATTGATCGTATATATTCCTCGGATTGAGCACAAATGTGAGTTTAAATGTAATTGAAAGCTGGACCACTCGGTGAAAAGGAGTCTAATTACTTTACAAACTGTTTACCTTCTCCTTTAAGATGTACCGTCGTCTAGCTCTGAGATCCTCGCGGTATTTCATCAAAATTTCGTCAATGAAATTGTCCCCATACATTCGGCTGTCAAACTGGCAACTAACCGCAGGACCGGTTAGTTGGCTTTTGAAACCCTGGATGAATTTAGCCGATGGAACTAACAAGGCTTCTTAATGGCCAAAAAAACAGTCTGACTGGATACAGTTGACAAGATAAACTGCAGGCACGCAATGTGTTAGACTTGAGGCAGGCATGATTTTAAAAAAAACACCCAAAAAAGATTATCAAAATTAATTACAACGACTTTGAGCTAATTTTAGTTTCAGATGCTTACTTGCAGAAGTCTCTCTCTCAGTTCGCCCTAGTCAATTGGAGGTAACAGGTCAATATGACTGGCACTCGTGCTGCAAAAACTGACTGAAACTATGGCAATACTCTAAGCTTTGAGTTTTTTTTTGGTTTCTTCTTCTTTGGGTTCCTCATCCTCCGGCTCCATTTTGCACAAACTCGTCGCAAATTGTTCCTGCTTGTAACCGCTCGTCACATCTGGCTCGTTTGGTTCCTACTTGCACCAGGAAATCGTGACATCACGCCCATTTCTGCACGGCTCATGTTTCTTCTAGGAGATCATCTTGCCCGTCGTCTTGGTCTTGGTCGTCTTTCTGCTTGCTCCCAACGCACTTTGTACGGTAGTCCGTCTCGTCGTCTGCCTCTTCGTCGCTGTCGTGATACAGTCGCACACGTAGTTGCGCAGACGTGGACTGAACTATTTGACTTTGTGCTAAAACAGTTTGAATATGAAATCAAAAAACATATAGATCGATGGGTTCGTATCTTTTTTCAAAAGCACACATCTTCACTCACTCTAATCATCGCCAATTTTAGCCTCGCAGATCAAATTTGCCCTCCTCTGCTTCACTCTGAATGGTAATTGGCACCCCTCATAAGTGTCCCATCTAAAATTATAAATTTTCCTAGTGGGAGAGAGCAGCTTTCGTTTGAGTCGAGATCTTCAATTGGCTCTTATCATCTCCCAGCATCCAGGCGACAACACATGCTCTGAATTTCTGTAACAGTCGCCGAAGCCCTCCGTGCCAAAGAACATGCAAATCAGTTTCTTCAGTTTCGCATCCTTTTTCTTGCATTGCTTTTCAGCAAAATGGCGGACCATGTTGCTTTTTTGCAAAAAAACAAAGGTCGCACTCTGGAAACGAATAGAAAAACAAAATCAGTCAAGGGTAAAAAATTGGACAGTGAAATTTTTTTCACAAAACGATTTTGTTACAAAAATTGGTATCCGGACTATAATTAGGCTATGACACCGTTAACCCTCGTTACAAAACAAAGCTCTCCTTACAGTATAAAAATGATTCATATGTGAGGTGTAGGAAAAGCAAAAAGAAACAATAAATTTTAGTGGAATCCACAAATTTTTAAGCACTATCTTTATCATTTTTTTTAGAATCCAGGATCAAATCTTTTAGAACCTTTGCCATATCAAACTTGTGATACACTTTAGGATGTGAAACCGGTACCTCTATTATGAAATGCGAGCCTTAAGTTTTATCATGAAACAAATTTAAAAAGAAAACGTCTTTCAGGCCACAAAAATTGTGATGCACGTTTACTTCGTTGTTTTGAAAACATCTTGCAGAGCCGCGGATTTGATCCAACGACCTCTGGTTTGGTAGCCATAATCTTTACCTCCAGGCCATCAGACATGTTATTATTCTAAGATAAACTGAAACCTAAGCACAGTCGTCCCTTACAAATAATCAATTACAAGAGGTTATCTGAGATGCAAAACAATTTAATTACATTGAAATCATTTGTTATCCATTTTATGAAAAAAATGACACTAGAAGAAAAACGTTACGAATAATGATAAACTTAGTTTTGCACTCGAAGCCAGTCGTGAATCGGGTTGATCGGTAATGGATAAAGGACATCAATTAGAAAAAAAACGAACAAGATCTGAAAAAAAAATTTTAAATTAAAATGATAAAGTCAACCGCGGTTTTTTAATACTAAAAAATCAATTTTCAAGAAATATTAAAATAAATTTAAATTCTTGATGGCATAATCCTTACAAGGTACCATAATAGGGAGAAAATAACATAGTAGGCGCAAGCCGGGGAATTTCACCCTATAAAGATATATCCCTCCTAATATGCCCCACGAATTTTGTACCTTGTTAACTACCCCCCCCGCAATTATTCCCCCACAATTTTTGTACCTTGTTAACTACCCCCCATTGCAATCAGGGGAGAAATAGTTAACAAGGTTCCCGGTTATTATCCCTCTAAATCGATTGGGGAAATTAAACGGTTGATGTATTGGTTATTGCCAGTATTTGGGATTGCCAGTATTTGGGATTGCCAGTATTTGGGATTTTGCAGAACTGCAAAAAACTATCGATTGTCAGTATTTGGGATTCTGCAGAAATGCAACGAATTATAATCAGTATTTGGGATTTTGGGATTTTGCAGAACTTTTTGTCAGTAATTGGGATTTTTGTCAGTATTTGGTAATTTGCAACTGCAAAAAACTTGTCAGTATTTTTTTGCATGCATCGAACTATTGACAGTATGAAATATTGCAATTTTCTCATTGAGTTAAAATTTGTACTGTCAATTGGAAAAAAATTTGAACGAAATTGGAAGGAACTGATCAGTATTTAAGATTGATTTGAACTGCAACAAGAACTATTGAGATTTTGCAAAACTAGAACAAACTATTTCTGTTTTTGGGATGGACAATAGACTGCACGGCGCCATTACCCATTCCACTCCGTCAGTATTTGAGTTTTTACAAATATAGAACGAACGACTACTTCCGTATTTGGAGTGAGTTAATAAACTAAACGGCGCCAGTACACATCCAAGTCAGAAAAGACAATATAATTAGTGATTTATTTACTGCAAAAAGTATTTTAGAGGGTGAAACATACTTAACCCTACATTTTTTTCAAGAATGCAAAGGATTGGGCCATATAACTGGAAAAAAGGGTATAAACTAGGGTATTTTTACAAAGTTTAGTTAAACTGGAGAGTTCAAGAATTATTGATCTCCTCCGAATACCATAACCAATTGAAGAGGGTATGATAATCACGGATTATTAAATCTTACACTTCAATTAATCAATTAATGGAATGGAAAATTCAATTAATCAAACTCAAGAAACAGTTAGGGACTCTTTTAGTTGACGGCTTAAAAAGTATCGAAACAATTATGACTCTAGTTGGCTATGAAGTCTATCCGCTGGCTATGAAGCTTCACCCAAGTTCGGCCAATTTAAAAATCACACCATAATCCACAATTAATTTTCCAATTAAGCAAAATGGTAATTCCACTGATATGGAAAACTTAAATAACACCTTCTTTTCATTCATCACTGCACCTTCTCAAATTCAGTTTGTAAATTTTCTAAATTCATTCTTTACTGCACCTTTTTCGAATTCAGTTTCCGGCAAACAAATCCGACAAAAAACGGACACGAATCTCGCCAAACCCCGATACGACTCGACGTACCGACAATCAAACCGACATACGAATCGACAGGCAAATAGCCGACATACGAATCGGGACGCACAAACCGATACGTACGAATCGACATACAAAAGAACGACTCGCCCGATACGACAAAGGACTCTTCGATGAGCAACAATTGTGGAATCGCTATTCGATAGCATCAGATAATGATCGAAAGTTTGTAGACGACAAAACTCTAGATGAAATAGCAGGAAAAGAATTGGCAAACAAATAGCGAACAGGGCAAAGACTAGTTTCAGAAACGGTCGATGGAACTACATTGGAAGTTGACGATCTTGTACAAAAAATAGTAAAACCACGTCAACGCAGTCAATCGATTGCAGTCGCAGCAGGAATCATGCAGGTTTTTAATCTACGGGGCTTCAAGAAAATACCGTGGAACCAAAAACGGATCAACCTGGTCAAGTTTCTCTTTCCAGGAACAATGCTACCCGAATACTCACCTTTTAGTGTAATAAACTATCAAAACAGATCTCGACACCGCCCCTAGTACAGTTAGGAACCTCATCAAGAACCTCGACATCAACAGAATCAGCAACCTCGCAACCATTTGCTCTTCCAGTACCCTCAGAACCGTCAAGACATTCAGCAACCGCATCCTTATAGAGGCACCAACATATTCATTTTTTGAAGTATCATTCCTCGCAAGACTACTCGGAAGAGAGCACTGGCGACAAAACAACAATGCCGCACTTCAAAGGGATCTGAAAGATTTTGGCGCCGAGTTCTGTTTTATGAGTGATGCCATAGAATTAGCCTCCAAGGTCTAATGGAAGTAGCTGAAAAGGACTCCCAGAGAATAAAACGTGGTAAAGGTGGTCGCAAAAAGTGTAGATTTTTTTCGAGCCTTTTTATGATTACTCGCTTATCTAAGAAACGGGGATCTTCGGAAGATTTAAAGTACGATTTGGCTAAGGCGACAAAAACTGCAAACATTGACGATACTATTAACACTATTCGGTCGCGGCTCGAAATTACAGGCTTCCTTCAAATCATTCGTTCCTTCTGCTAGTCACATTCGTGGAGCAAACACCGGAATAGTGGTTCACTTTACAAAACTTCTGTAAGCCCGAGAAGAAAAAATTTTCTGGATTTCGAAATGACCTAGTTTACTGAGAACCACGGAGCTTCAAGTATTACGCGTTGATATCTGGGGATACATCTGTGAGATTGGCGGTGTGGAGGTTACCAGGTTGGTGTTCAGGCTCCTCAATGTCGACAGTAAAGTACAGTCGACTCTCAGCGTTTTCTGTTTCGCAGGTAAGTCAATTTTGTTTTAGATACTTTATAATTTATTTACTTTAGAAAAAAATCTCTCAAGATTATTAATCTCGGCATCGCTTATATGTTAGATATAGGGAGTATGGTTAACTTTTTTTGCTCTTTATTAAATTAGGCACTTTGGCTCAGCGCAGTACTTTGTCTTCTAAAGAATAGTATGTGTCAAATGGAGCAGAGCGCAAAATATTTCTGCGTACGGACAAAAACCAGTGCGGATTTTAAGAGCAAATAGTTAATCATTGTAAATGGAATCAACAACCAAGGCTCAAAACACTGAGGACTCAAGTTTATGAATGTACCTTTTTGATTATTTTTATCAGCATTTGGAATGATCTTATCTTTTGCAGCCAGGTAGAAATCAACAACAAAATTCATATCCGCTCAAACTCAAATCGGATCTGTCCATACCTGCAAAACTGGATATGTTGTTTTTTCCTTACTTATTCGACAAATTGGTCAGCGTACCGTGGAAAAGACAGCAGATACGCTATAAAGCAGAAAGTTGGTCCCACCACAGCAGGCGAACAAGAATCGGGTTGGTTGTACAGCCAAACAAATTCTCTAAGACAGTAAGGAGCAAAGCTGACCTATAGTGGCAATTTACCATTTCTGTTGTGGCTGGCTATTGGTGTCCTAAATGAGCAGTCATCTGATAGAGTCTCGTGGCTCCCACTGTATGTGTCAAATGACACTACAGACTTCCGTCCAATAACTTGCGAGCCAGAGACTGGTAAAAGAACTGAACTCAATGTGCCATTTCGAAAAGAGTTACCTAAGACGTCACTGGTCAACATCGAAGACATTCCATGCGTTTGTCCAGATTCCACCCACCTGATTACACGTTGAGTGGAAACACATTTTTGTAAAAAGGCACAAAAAATAATTGATTCTATGCACCCTCACGAAAAGTTTGCCATTCAGCGCTTTGAGGAAAATTTGAGTAAATGGGGGGCCAAAAAGCCATTTTTTCATTTCACCACTGTCTCGATAGGAGGAACAGACAAAGCTGGCAAAGTGTGTGCAGTCTCTCTTTCTGGAATCTGTGCGCTGACTGTCATCGGGGACAAGGAAGAAATGAAGGCTAGCACAGAAATTGAAAATCTTTTTACTGGAGCATGGAAAAATGAAGTTGTTGTTCGCCCCAAAGAAAATACAGATATGTAAGTTTAGTCGGTAGAAGTGCTACAAGCCATCTACCCGAGTCTCGTCTCAAAAATTTATAGAAAAATCCTCGCGTGCTTCACCACCAAGGATGCCAGTGAACTTTTGAGAAAGAGCTTGAATGAATGCACAAAATTACTGAGACCAAAAGGTGATTTTACGCTTCAGAGTAAGAAAAGAGGGCTGAAATCTACTATCAAGTATCAGTGCTTATCTTTGGAGAACAAAAATTGCCCCCCCCCCCCCTTCAAACAAAAGTTACTCCTAATGCCACAGCTTGTGTTGAGCAATATTATACGAAGTCCCTGGGAACATTTGTACGAAGCTCTCGAAAAATCTTCCAACCACCATGCGAACAAGGATTCCCAATGTAGGACAATGCGAGGCGTAAGAAGATTGCATAACTACGGCTCACTGTTCCTCGAAATGTTTTTTTTCTTTCTGCAAGTTCATCAAACCTGGCAAGTGCACACGTAGTTTGCTAAACAAGGCGGTAGACGTCTTGGGAGGAACCAATCCTATCCCGTCGTATTTACAAATATGTCAAAAAAGTCTAGAATTTCCGAAAGTTGCCGTTGGTGAAAAGCATGCATCTAGTCTAAGGCTTTCTGCTTTGCGATTTTATGTGCTGGGTGCTTTCGGATGTACATCGGCAGCAGTTGCGGGAAAGAAAGCAAAACCAAATCTAGCATCACAAGCTATGGTGGAAAAATGGGCCCATGATTTAGGAGGTACAGTCCTAACCAAAGAGAATGCTCAAACCAATCTTCGGGGACATTCCAAGACACCTAACTGCTTTGTTCTGCTGAAAGATGACACATATTTGGTCGAAAGAACGATGACTGTAAAGGAATGGTTGCAAAACCGAGTAGGTGGAAAAGAGTCAACAACTGATTTGGAATCTATTGATACTGGGAAAACCAAACGAAAGAGCTGGCAAAAAAACTGCACATGCAGCCATCCAGCGCTGTAAATTTGTGGGTAGTGATTTCAAGTTTTCGAAGCTAGAATAAATAGTTGACTCTCTTTATTCTGATTCAGTTATTGATCCGACATCTTACCACCTACATCCGGGGAATTCAGTTAAAGGATCAGCGAATTATGAAAAACATATGTGGCAGCTACTGGTGGAAGTTTATATATATCCATTGGATGAAGTTCTTCACCGTAGTAGCGAACCACCCACAGACAACGGCTTTGAGCTAGTCCAATCGACGTTAGTTGAGGACACGGAGATAAACGTGCTGATCAACATCCAAGTGCAACACACCGCGGGAGAGCATGCGGTTTATAGAGCTACCCCATTGGCTCAAATCGCGGAAGGTGGAACGATGCGGAAACAGCACAAAATTTCCAACACTCGCGTGTTGGTCTCCGAACGACGGGTCAATTTTGACGAAGTGTCGCTTGACGCTTTTGCGGCTCATTGAATTGGAAGCAGTCGACTTAAGCTGTTCTTTCGAACCAATAGTGGGATGTCAAAGCTACTTACTTCTACCGAGCTTTAACAGACGTTTTGAGACACCGGACGATGCTCTGGTAATGGTGCCTGATCCGAGGAGCTGCCAGTACGAGACGGGGTTAACCATCATCATCAAGCAGCACCCGCCCATCCGAGCCTTTTTCGTCTTTTTACACGGAGCGGAAATGAAACTACCGGGTGTGATGGTCCCGGCAATCTTTCCAGAGCAAGCGCGAAGCGAGATGATGGAAGCGGTCTGGCATAATCTCACTTAGCTGCCTGGATGGTCGGTGGACGATGATGCCCTATCGAAGATCTCCAAACCTTTTTCGGATCAGATACTGAGGAAACATACATGCTTTTAATGGCAAGCGATGCGCAATTGGCCTGTTTATTATGCGATGATGATGAGGTGGAAATGACAGCAATAGTAATTTGGCGGTCTTAATTTATGTTATTTGGCGAAGTGACTCAAGGCAGGAAGGGAAAAAACGCCAAAGACGACGACGAAGAGATGGCGCGGACAATTACCATTGATGTGGGTTGAGGAGGATGAACGAAAGAAATCATGCGAGTTTTTGAGCTTTGGGTTATACCACGTCGAGTAAAAATGTTAAGCAGTCAAAACCCATAAAATTTTATCCATTGTTATTTTTATCCAAACCAAAAAGTTTTGTTTAAGGGATCTGACTGTAGGTTGCTTAAACTAGCCCGGTTAGGGAGTACGTTAAGCCTAACCCTAAAGGTATAGTGGTCAATTAATAACTAGAAAAAGATCTAATTTCCTGAGCAGTATTAGGAGACCTACTTCCCCTGTTACGCCTCTATTGAAATTTTGAAGACAATTTCCCCAGGATTACTTTCCTTTGGTCCGATTGAGTTTTCAAAAATAGCTGAAAAGCCAATTTAAATTTATTACAATAATTGCCAACTTCAATTCACTTAACAAACTCCTTCAACTTTACCATGTAAAAGCTAAACCAGTATAAAACTGTATAACTAGAGATTCATATATTAGGTCGACTAGTTGCAAAATTGCCTTGGACAGCGTGAATTATGTACGTATAGTTAGATATATTTATATAACTATACGTACATAGTTATATGTCATTTATATGTCACTTAATATACATTTATTTGTCACTTAATATATATGTCAC